CCCCCCAAACTTCATTCATTTGTTCTAGATGTTACTAGACTGTTCAGAAAGTGGTTTAATGCACAGACCAGCTAAAAACTTAACCAAAGACAACCTTGGCAGACCCCAGTAACTCAATGAAGAGGCATGCATTCAGTATACATGTCATTCTTTGTTGCCATTTTCTCAGCCAGTTATGATATGTGATGCTCTGATGATTTTGTGATTGGCACTGTGCCTTATTTGGGAACTAACAGAAAGCAATATTGATCCTGCCTTGTTACTGACTAATGGTGTGTAGTCTCCACTGACTCCCAAAACAAGGTGTCAGACTTGGTACTGAAGGTAGATCCCTCACTTTAGAAATGTCAGTAAAAAATGGACATCAACACGAAGAAACTTTGCCAGCAAAATTTAAGCAGACATGTTGGATACCAGAAGAAAGTGTAGTCTTTTTAGTGCGAGATGTTAATTATTTTAACAACTTGAAACACTGTAATCACGAAGCTGTGTAGTAATGAATCTGTGGCCACTAGTTACCAGTGTAATTTTCTACCAGAGGTGAACATACATGTAACTGTATTTTTACAGAGACAGAATCTAAGATATCAGTTGATGATTTGACTGTTTAATTAAGGTGGTATGTGAACGAACATGTATGAGACTGGTCAGCATGATCGACAAGCAAAGATTTTGGCTAGTCAAGTCACCATTTCTGGCCAGACATTGTCCACTAAACAGCTGTTACTTTGAGCCATGAGGGCTTCCTATTTGATATTTGCTACACTTCTACACTGTCAAACAAATTCAATCCAATCTGAACACAGATAACCTTAGTGCTCACAAGCGAAATTACTCGTTTGTTAGCAAATGCAGACTCATTGTTACACTTTTAATAACCGCAGAATACCTTTAAAATGTGTTCCACAAAGTTTAAAATATTTCTACTGAAGTTTTTCATCAAGCCTTAGTTACATGTATGAAAGTAAGCTTATTGATAACTGTTCGTGGAGCTGCAGCAAAGGTCTCACACACATTTATCCCCATAAAATACTAGCAGAGTTGTGGTATACCTTGTTTAAAGTTGTAAACGATCTTTGTTGTAACACAGGCGGCCCAAGCTCTCAATGTTATCCTTTTTTTTTCACTTTTATGCAAATGTTCAGCGTAACGTGACATATGGCATATACTATTACATAACGACTGAATTTGACCAAGCGAAACGTGACACTGGCCTTAAAGCATATGGAGGTGTTGTTGTTACAACAGTTTGAATTTATAAAGGTTTGTATAGGAATGCAACGGTTTTGCTTGAAAAGTCAATTATTCTCATATTTAGTGAATAAAATCTACTTACCCTGTTGCTGTGTTGTATTCTTTGTTGTTTGCCAGCTGCTCAGGCCGATCT